TACTCAAAATTCTTTAGTCAATAATAACATATCTTCAACATCATTTGAAATTGATAATTCATCAATATATTCAAATCCGTATTCACATATGTTAACAATAGATATAGATAAAGATAATATGCCACATTTATCTGGAAAACGTTCACCAACAACACCACCTCTTTTATTTTATAAACAAATACCAGATAAATCTATAACAACAAATGAACATTTTTTTTAAAAAGAATATTATATTGAAGATATTTAAATGCTCAAAGTTGATGATCGTTTTTTTTTAAAAAATATTTCATTCTATGGTTTCATTTTGCTCATATTGATATATTCATCTCAAAATGCTCAGTTGAATTTTCTAATAGAACAGTTATTTATTTCGCAACATTTCTCATTCTAATTGAGATAAAAAATTTTATTGTCTCTCTTTATTAAGACCCGGTTTAACACACCATCTCGGTGTTTTCTTTTCTTTTTTTTTTTTTATTTCTTCAAAAATAATACCTTGTTTGTTTGTTCTTTTTTTTTGTTTTGTTTTCCTATTTTTGTTTGTTTTGTTTGTGATTATATAAAAACGTGCGTATTGTACGTTGAGCCAACAGCTCAATACGTTTAAATTTAAAAAAAGAAACACAAAATACTACATAATAAAACTTATATAAATTAAAAAAGAATAATTATTTTCTTTTTCTTGAAAGAAAATTTCTATTATTATGTCGAATATTTTTTTTTTCAATGAAGCAAAAAAAAAAGTAAAATATAAAATCATATGTAGTTACTTATTACATTGCACATATATATATATATATGATTATTAAAAAAGAAAATTTATAATTTTTATGAATGACATGAAATGAAAAGAATGTTTTGTTTTTTTTTCAACAGAGTACCTCCTCTTATCGTAAAAAAAGAAAAGAAAAGTCATGAAAAAAGTATTATTATTTTCGTCATGTTTATAAAATAATAATTAGAGTTAAAACCAAATGATTTATTCAAACCGATTATATAAAGTCTAGATTGTAAGAACATTAAAAAGAAATAATCAAAAAAAAAAAATTATAAAATATGTTAAATACATTAACGAAATAAATTCGAGAGCATAATTGTTAAATAAATAACTTGAGAGAAACGTTAACTTTATTGAATGGATTACGATCGAAAAAGAAAAAAAATTGTTTTTTTCTAAAATCAATATAAATGTCTACAATAATAAATAAATAGTAAACTTTCGAAAAAAAAAGAAACAAGCCTCGAATATTGAAATGTACTTTTATATCTTTAGATTTATAAAATTTAAAATCATTGTAATAATTATTTAATTATAAACGTGTACATAGATTTGATCTTGTTGATTTAATAAAAAATTTATACATAGCATGACGATTATTTCCCTTGAGATTTTCGTGCTCGTTTAGAAATTGATGTAATGAAAAATAAAAGAAAAAAAAAAAGGACGATAAACAAATGAGAAAACATAATAAAATAAAATTTAGACAAATAATGAAAAGAAAAATCTTTTACTAATAGAAAATTAAAGTATACAGATTGTAATATTTATTTGATAGAGCATTTACAAAATGAACATACGTTAAAAAAAGAGAAAAAAAAAAATATATATATATATAAAATATTTGTTAATCAAATGTTAGTAAGATTAAAATTGTAAATATCTATTGACTTTGATATTTAAATGGTGTTCTTTATATATGATCTTATTTGTATTCATTTAGTGATAGGCGAGAATAAATATATTCAATAATAGATAATATAAAATAATTAGTTCTATCGAATCAAATATCTATATGTAGAAAATTCTTTATATTTTTAAATAATATTTTTGTTACTTGTTATTATTCCTAAGACTAATGATTTAGTAGTTGATTTGAGCATAGAATATGTGTCACTCATATGTAATAGTTTGTTTGCTGTTTTTTTTTCTGTTAAATTTAATCGAATGAGTTTCTTTTAGTATGTTAGAATAGATACTATTGTCTACATCGTATTCATCTGTGGTTCAAAAAAATAATTATATATTGTTCTTTTATAATAATAAAAAGTACTATAAGCTAAAAAATTCTTTGTGCTCGAATGAAAAAAGAAAACTAACAAAAAAATCAAATTGCTATTTTTTTTCTCTTGAAGTTATTCAAAAGGAACTAGTTTCAAGTTATATAATATGCAAAATTTCTTGAACCATTCACTTGTATCTTCATACGTTATATACTCACTTGTAATTACGCTTTGCAATAGGAAAAAAAAGTAATTATTATTATATCAAAAAAATACAGAATTTTACGAATTACAAAAATAAAACTTCTATTACAGTTTGTATTGTTTTAGTTACAGATGACAGAATTCAAATGTATTTATTTAAAAACGAAATGATATCAAAAAAGTACATCATCATCTAGTTATTGTAATTACTTGAGAAGTTCGTTTCAGAATATAATTTTGTATCTTAGCATTTAACACTTTGTTGTAATTTATTAGTGTTGTGTTTGGATTATGTCAGAAGAACTTATATGAAAATATTATGCAATGATGAATAGTTGGTATGTTGTAGACATCTGATTAGATCTTGATCTAAACGCAGCACTTGAAACGAGAGAAAATTTAGAATCTCTTTCTAGTTTTAAATGAAATATTGAAAGTTAACTACATTAGCCAAATGATGAGAGTTGAAAAACGATGTGATTTTGTCTAATATGTTGCAGCTGTTTATAAAAAAAAGAACATTTGCACAAAAATAGAAATATTTTCATGCCTTTTTTTTTTTTTTTTTCAGTGATTTTTCATCATCAACTAGATAAAGAAATCACCTAATGAACATGTAATTTGTTTTTATTATATAAAATTTTTTTAACTAGAAGTTATTTTACGATTTATCTTTGACTAAATTCATTCGTTTTCTTTAAAACTAAAAATATTGTCATTTTTTACTTTTATTGAATTAAATTGTAGAACAAATTTTTTTTCCTTCTCAACATATATTTTATTCAACTAATGCTTTCTTATTGATGATTACATTGACAAGGTCAATGCATCTAGACGAGACTATTATAAATGTGTTTATAATTCAAAATCAAGGGATTGAAAAAACCATACCAAATAAACGAAAGATTTATGATATTCTTCAACACTCTCTATTCTATTTTTGTTTTCATTGAAATTTTATGAAATTTCGTAATTATAACATAACAAATCAATTAGCTTAACAAATTGAAACATAAGTGCAAAAGTAGAACATGAAAAAAAATACTCAAAGAGTTTTTAATAGAAGTATTTTATTATGTTGAGATTAGAATTGTAACGTAGTCTATAAAAGAATAATATTTTTCTTATTATTTCTTTAAAAAGTGTATGAATAAAAGATTTTACATTATAGAACTACTTATTACCTATTATTTGAGAAATAAAACTATTCGAATTGACATGTATAGAAAAAAAATGCTCGACCGACAAGTAAGACTTAATAAGTTTCTTTTTTTTTCTTGCAAACAGCTATGAGTAATAGCATATTTTTAATTATTATATGTATTGAAAAAAATACTCACAAAGCATACAAATGGAAATTTGCTTGCCCTCTTCATTAGAGTCTTTGATAGATTTAAGCACGAAAATAAAATCTCCTGTAGAGTTAATATGAAAGATAATTGAGTTTAAGACACGTTTATTTGCTTTTCATTTCAAACTTATTGTAGTTTGTTATGAATAATATTTTTCAAGATATGATATTTAATTGTTCTGTTCATAAATAATCAGTATTTATTTGCCAGCAAATCTTTCAAAAAAATAAGTACAGATAGTTTTATAGTTAGTCAAACAATAATAAAGTTTTATAGTCTATATATTAGAGAAAAAAATTCAAAATTTCAATTTTTTTTGTATAGTAGATTTTAAACTTTTCTTTAACAACAATAAACATACTATTATTTCTATTCATAAATATTTTGTATTATAGTGAATATCATAATTATATATTATTCATTGAAAAATATAGGGTTGTGCATAACCTTTTGCTAGGGGGGGAGCGCCATTATTTCAAGTTGAATACCTAATGAATTTTATACCAAATTAAAGAGCGTTGAAAAATGGATTTATTAGTACTAAATAGTAAGAGTTTTCAAAATATTTTAATGTGAAACTTACGAAATTTTCGGAAATTTTATGCTGTTTATACCATAGAAAATGAAGGCACCACCAATTCAAATATAGAGTAAGATATTTTCTTTTGATATTTTTATATGGTTCGATAGAGCTTGTCGAGCTCTACAAAACTGTATATATCAGAATTTTTTTAAGCCATTTTTTTCAGATAAAAAATTTAAAAAATTACTTGTAAAATCCTAAAAAATCTCTAAAAACTCGTTTTTTTTATATGGAAGAAAAACACTTGATTTTTTCAATGAAATTAGCTTTTTTCATTATTTTTATTGATAAAGACACTTCGAAATATACTCCTCCGGTGCAGCGTGAAAAACTGCGTCTGACGAGTATATCTCGAAGCGTCTTTGCTAGTAAAAATAATGAAAAAACCTAATTTTATTGACAAAATCGAGTATTTTTCTTACCAATAAAAAATTGCCGGTGCCTTAATTTTTTATGCTAAAAAAAGCATAAAATTTCCGAAATTTTCGTAAGTTCGACATTAACATATTTTGATAACCCTTACTATTTAGTACTAAGAAATCCAGTTTTCGACGCTCTTTAATTTGGTGTAAATTTCATTAGGTATTCAACTTGAAATAATGGCGCTACCCCCCTAGCAAAAGGTTATGCACAACCCTGTATATAATTTAGAAACAAAAAACGAATAGGAATGATTTTAAATAGTATAAATCATAAACAATTAGAATATATTCAGAGATTATTCAGTATTTATAAATACATTTTTCTTTTTGATTGATATTCTTCTTCTTCTAAGAACATACAGAAATAATGGTATGTTTATTATTATATAGAAAAATTTAAAACTATTCTAAATTTTAATTTTCTTTCGATAATATCTATTAAAGTTTTGTTTCAATAATAGAATTATTACATGTTGTACTTCTTAAATTTTCTTCATTAATTATCACAGTTATTGTTTTTCGTTTATATAATGGCCATATGAGAAGAAATCTAAATAATATATATATATATATTTTTGAAATTTAATAAAAAAAGAAAAGATTTCAAAAAATTCTTATTTACCCATTAATACCTAATGGAATAAGTCCAATGCCTGATAAAATAAAAAAAATTATACCAGGATATATTTCAATTGTTCGAGCATATATTACATTAGTAATAATTCCAATAACATATGATCCAATAGTTTCAACTATTCCAGTTGCAATAAAAACAAGTGCATATTCATTATCATTAACTAATTTTGTTAAATGTGATCGTAATACAGCCATAACAACAAAAAATAAACATCCAATAAATACAGCTTTACATACACACACACAAAAAAAAAGAGAAATTCTTTTAGAAAAATAAATATTTGTTATCTTACCAAGATAAAGAAACCAAATAGTACGAGCTAATCCAAAAAGAACTAAATGTATAATATACATTAATATTCCAATAAATGGTAATAATAATGAATTAGTAAATCTATTTTGCCATAAACTAAGAATAATTGATATAAATATCATTAAAGAAAATTGTGCACTTGTTAATATTGCTAAATCTAATATATTAAAACATAATGGTTTTCCATAAAGATAAAGTGGATGAATACTAACAAAACCAAATAAAATAATAAATAACATAATTTGTGTTAATGTTAATAATATAATTGTTCGTTGATTATTTTCAGTACGTTTTATTAAAAATACTTTATATGTACCATGTATAGGTGATAAACGTATATGTTTTATTTGTTTTAATAAATAAGAAATTTTTCGATTATTATTACCACGTGATTCAGGTTGAATAAGTATTATATAGATTAATGCAGCTATATTTAAACCTAAATTAATTGATATGGGTAATGTATAACCATGATGTTGTAACCAAAAGCCAATACCTAATAAAGGAAATATACGCGTTAGAGCAACTGCTGCTTCTTCTAATAACATAGCACGTGATCGTTGATTTTCTGTTGTACAATCAGTTATATAAGCAATAGCTCCTAATAGAAGTACACTATTTGAACCAAATAAACCATCAATTACATTTGATATAATAAGCCAAATATCACTGAGATTTAACTGTACAAGTAATAATATTATAGTAAATCGAACGATTCTTCCAATACATGGCAAAATTAAAAGAGGTTTTCGTCCAATACGATCAGAATTAGCACCAAGAATTATATATGTTAAAACAGCTGGTAATGCTCCAACACCAGCCATTATTATATTTAAATGACTAACTGATTTTTGTACTTCGGTAGATAATTGAACGATTTGTGAATCATTTTGAAGATCTTCTGCATTACAAGCTGTTTCACTTGCTGGTGAACTTGTATTAACAAGACCATATTCTAATTGATAACGTCGAATCATAAGATCATTAAGAAGAATTGGATCAGTTGTTGCTGTTGTCATAGAAATAATAATAATAGGAAGAACAATCCACCAACGAAATAATATTTGTCTTTGTTCTTGAGAAATATTGATTTTATTTGATTTTATTGAGGAAATATTTGCTAATTCCATTTTCTTTTTAGTCTTATAAATCACATATATGTCTTTCTTTTTTTGTTTTTATTTATGTAGATATATATTTTTTTTTCCTGTATATTGGCAAATCGTGATTTCGTGTAATTTGATTTTTTTTTTTTTCTTCAATGTACCTTTTCGCAAGTAATAATCAAGTGTAATTAGAGTTCTTTTTTTTAAAGAATTATCCCGATACATTTATTCGTTTTCTATTCAATAGAAATAAATAAGTCATATCAAGGTCGTTTGGTATTTCTTTTTTATGAGATTCATTGCATAAATACTTAATTCGATTGGTCCAATGTTTTTTTTTTTTTTATATCAGAAGCAAAAAACAATCAATATATATTCTGACATCCATAATCTGTTCCCCTCGAGTGTTAGCATGTTCTACTAATCGTCAAATGCAATCAATACTTATTCAGTGGATTTTGTTTTTCTCATATTCACTTTCCTGATATTAATTATTATTCTTGATAAATACCCATCGGTTATGGTTTTTTTTTTCTCTGATAATAATTTTTTTTTCTTCCATCATTTCAGCTGATCACATTAGACAGGAGACACAAGAAGAGAAAAGGCAACATCAGATCTTCCTGACATTCTTCTATAGATATAATCAATGTTAATGCGTGATCAATTATCGTTTTGCTGTTCTCCAGTAGTATATTTTTGTTTTTACGTATATATGGACAAGTAATAGTCATACAACTGACAATTGTAAACAATCCATAGAGTGTCAAGAATTGTATAATAACTCGTCTAAGTGGAGCCATATTTGTATTTTACGTATATTATAGTAATTTATTTTTAATGAAAATATCAAGTATGTTATAGAACAATGATATTTATTAAACAGAAAAAAATATAACTATTAATTGATATGGATTATCATGAACATGAAATATCAACAATAAGAACTAATCAACCATTAAAGCAACAACAACAACAACAACCACAAAAGAATTTCTCTATATTCAAGTGTTTTGCCGATTGTTTCATTTCGTATGAAAGTGAGTTTTATTAAATGAAACAGAGTAAAAATTATAAAATTACGAATATTCTTAGTAGTTACTAAACTGAAATATATGATTAACTTGTAGTTATGAGATACAAAATAATGCATGCAATATAAAAGAAATCTTTATCAAAATAAATAACTTCGACATTTTGACGATTAACAAAAGGTCATAGATATTCTTTTGTACTATTATATCTTTATAGAATCTAATAATACGATCTTATATGTTACAAACATTGTAAACGATTTTTATACTTCCATTTTTTTTTTGCATTTAAGTTTGATTATAAAAAATATTGAGTTTTTTAAATTATCATGTATATCAAAGATAGAATCGATTCATTTTGTTTTTTTGATGGAATCTAAATAGTGCAAGCGTTATTTTATAATTTCATTTTTATTAACTTTTAAAAATAACTATACTGAATTAAAAAAATAAAAGTTTACAGTTTTCAAAGATTTAAAAACAAAAAGACATTGTTGTTTTTTTCATGTGTTTTCATAGAAAAAGAAAAACGAAAGATGCTAAATTATATGAGTTTCAACGATCAATATAATATTGAATAAACATTGTCAGCATCCAGAAAATATGATGCCGATACACTTTTACTATCGCTTTATAATATGTTGAATAAAACTTTGATAAGTATAATTAGAGATCGACAGGATCAGTATCTAGTTCAAATCTGAAGAAATATTTGAACATCTTATGTAACATGATTTGTTTATTCTAACATTTTTGTTTTGCTCATTTGATTGACAACTTAAAATAAGTAATTGATCGATCCCTGGATATAAAACTATCAAAGTTATTTGTATTATTTATGATATAATTAATAATATTCACAAGCCATTTGCTTTGAAAAATTGAAGTTAATTGAATAGTTTTATGAATAATACTTTTAATTCAATGAAAATTTATGATTAATGAAAAACATTTGAACATTGTTTAAATTTGATGAAGTAGTAATAATAAAAGAAAGAAAAAAAAGGCAAGTTTTTGTACTGTTATTTGCTCTAAAGCAAAGAGTATATTTTACTTAATTTTTTTTAATTATATAGTAATTTAATCGAATTTGTTTTAATAAAAAATTGAAAAATCTCTATAGAAATTCTTGTTTTTTTTCTTTTTTCTTGTCTGATTCGAACAGACGGAAATCATTACATCGAATCATAGAAAATGTCAAATATTGACAAATGACCTTTTAAGAAATTCTTTGATTGTATCCATATATATCTGTTTGTATTCATCTATCTCTCTGTTAAACATTACTAAATATAACATCTAGAAAAATCATACTAAAACTTCGAAGTAATTAAATAATTTCAAAATCAATTTATTCTTTCTTATTTAGCTCTAAAAGTCGTACGTTTTGAAGCAAAATGGATAGGTCTAGTATCATTAATTGTCAAATTATCACTTGCTATTAGTTGTTTATATTTAATGTTTCAAAGAGATTCTTATCAAATATTTGATCGTTCACCAATATCAGCTGTAACAATTAAAGTAAAACAATCATCAATTTGTTCAAATAATATTTCATTAATACGTAATATTTTTACTTATAATTGTTCAAAATCTTTATATGATGTTAATGATTTTATAATACCATCAACAGAAAATTCAGCTGTATCAATAACAACACGAATGGTTGAAATTCAACATATATTAAAATATTGTAATGATACAATTATACAAAATTCTGAACAATATTCATCTTTATATAATTCATCCATACATCAATGTTCTCATAAAGCACGTTGTATTTTACCACCATTTTATCGTAGTGATGATAATGATGATGATAATGAATATGAAAATATTTTGAATAAAGAAAAATTATGTTGGTTTAGATTACTTCCAACATATGAAAGATTAAATTATCAAGCACTTGATTATATTATATTTATAAAACATTTTGTTGAATTTACACAATTAGGTCTTATTAGACATAATCTTGTACCAGATATAATAACAACTGATTATTTAAATACATGTGAATATGATCCATATAAACATCCATTATGTCCAAAATTTCGAATTTTAAAAATTTTACAAATGATTGAAATAAATCCATATGAATATGAATTAATGTTTTTATATGGTTCATTAATTGAAATTCGAATTACTTGGAAATGTAATCTTGATCGACATTTAAAATATTGTGAACCTGTTTATGAATTTCAACGTTTAGATATTAAACCATATGAAACAAATCCATATGATCCTGGTTCAAATTTTCTTACATCAAAACATTTTTTTTTACCTAATGATCATGAATTATATCGTATGCATACTCATATATATAAATTACATATTATAGTTTCTGTTAGTGGTGAAGCTGGTAGATTTGATCTATTTCAAACAACAACAAGTATTGGATCATTTATTGGTATATTTGGTACAGGATCAATTGTATGCGATTTAATTGCAACATTTCTTTCTAATTTTAAAAAAGTAAAATATGATCATTAGCTATTAATTGAATTCCAATGTATATTTATAGAATATTTCGTATTTCCTAAGGAAATATTTTTATTTTTTAGTTTTGTAATAATCAATATCTATGAATAACTCAGAATACAAATAAATTTCATGACTATTTTATAAACTTATTTTGTCTTTTTGTGTAAATAAAATTTTAAGTTTAATATAATCATTTGAGACTTTTTTTTTTCTTCTTATATTACATGATAATCGATTGATCTATATATTTGTAAAGGTTAACAGATTTAAGAAATAAGAAATATGAGTCAAAATACTGTCATATTTGTCGTTAAAATAGCATCATTATTATTTGGTAATCGTACACATGAAAATATCATTATTATTAATGATTTTCTTTTTTTCTGTTTGTACGATTAATATAAAGTCTACATTTCTATGAATAACAATCGAAAACAAATATATATATTCAAAAGAAATTTTTCGTTATGATTCATAATTGATTCGAGGGTTCATGTTTATATGTATACAATAAAACGTGTCCTACACTCTATTTTATCTATAACAATGTTAAGATTTCTTTTCAATAAAATTCTATTAACATATCATACATATCTTTATTTTGAAATAAATAAATATGGGTTGTAAACATTCATCATTACGATCAAATTCATCAAAGATAAATATTAAAAATGAAGAAAAAATTATATTAAAAAATAAAAAATTTATTCAAGAAAATAATCATGAAAAATTAAATGATATAAAATTATCTAGTATATCAAATAAAATATCTTCTTTATCATTAAATTTTGAACAAATACTTAATGATCATAGTAAAAATTTAATAAAAAGATTTGAATTTAATTCAACTTGTCTTTTATTTGATGTTTCATTAACACATATACTTTTACTTAATAATAAAAAACTTTATTTAATTAATATAAATATAATGAATATTGATACATATATTTTATTAATTGATAATATAAATATTCAAGAAATAGTATGGTCAACACAATTAAATAAATTTCTTATTCTTACAACTGATCAATTATATCAAACAGATATTGATCAATTACAATTAATACCTATTCATCAAATTCAGGTTAGATAATCAAATAAATTTACAAAAAAAAAAATTTTTTTTTTTTTTAAACTTTTTTATTAATATATTAATGAAGGTCATCGTAAATCATATATGACAGTTAACGGAGATGATTTACTTATTAATCGTTCATTTGGATATGATCTACGTCGATATTCTCTTTTAAATTTTAATCTTCTACAATCACCTCATATATATAAAAATATTAAAGAAATATGTATAACTACAATAAGATTAAATTCAAATAAAATTTTAGCTCTTGCTATTTCAATTAATGATAAACAAATGATTGATTTAATACATTTAAATACTAATCAACTTATTCATCGAATTAAATTAGATTTTAATGAAAATATTTCATATCCAATTGATTTACATTATCATGGATTATGGTTTGCTAAAACATGTATACCTTATATAAATATTGGTCATTGTTTAATAACATCTAATGGACAAATAATTAGATTAAAACTTTTTTCTAATCAAGATAATTTTATACGTTCACTTCGAATGACTGATGATAATAGATGGTTATTAATTGGTAGACAATATGCATTAGAACTTTATTCATTATCAAAATGATACATTTTTCTCTTAGTTAATTTATAGACTTTGTTTGTTTTGATTTATTTTGATCAAGCTTCTTTTTTTTTCTTTCGTTAAACAAGTAACAACGAAAACATAAAAAAAAAAAACAAAAGTTTTGCTATTATCAGAAAAAAATGTTGTTAGAAAACTTTATTTGATATGATCATTCATATTCTATTATCAATAGAAATAATGTGATTTATTGAACAATATTAAGATTTTGACAAAATAAACTTTTTCATAAGTATCAAAAGAAAGGAGATGAATTTTTCAGAGAATGACATTGATGTATAGATTTCAGAAAATAAGCATTTCCAAAACTATTAACACATGAGAGGCTAAGTTTGTGAGAAGCTTTCAAAATGGTTAATTTATTACGAAAAAAATTTTTAAAGAAATGATATAATACATTCAAAAAGTTCGGAGCAAATTACGACAATTTTTAAAATTTGTTTAACGTTAGTGCGTTTGAAACAATGATTGTGTACTGTGTAACCCGACACCTTGAAGAAAAAAAGAAGAATGCGTAAAAAGAAAATACTGTTGCTGTTTTTTTTTTTTTCTTTGGCCATAAGATTATTTTTCTGTGTAACACATCTTGAATACAACTATTTCGCATTTCAATATGCATCCAATTCGATATGTTAAAGAAAAAATTGGTTCATGTGTTGAAGACATAGCAGTAACAGCACCACAAATAGTCAAAGATGTTTCAATAGCTGTTAGCGATCAAGTCAAGAATTTCAATGAGAAAGTTCTTGAACCAGAAGAACAACAATTAGCCGATGAACATGGTTATACACATGGTGGTAAAAGAGAAAAAATTGTTAAACATTTAATGGGAGTAGATAAATATGAAGTTGGTGCACGTTTTATCGATAAACATGTTGTACATCCAATGCGTACAAATCATGATAAGGATAATCCACCAGATTCCACAGCTACCTAGACGATAAATATTTATAACGAAGTAACAATACAAATGTGAAATTGTATTTGCTTTTACGATTATAAAAATTGTGATTTGTATATAAATTTATTCTGTTATTTATTTATTTAAGCATAGTATTGTAAGTCAAAATTTTTTTTCCTAAATTCACATAATAAACTTTCGTATTTATTCGACGTTTATTCAAATAGCCATCAGTTGATTGCTTGATTGATAAGACTAATCATTTTTAACTTCCAAAAAAAAAAAAAAACTAAAAGACAAAATATATATTGAATTTTGCTGTTTTTTATTATAAACAAATGAAGGAAATATATAAGTGTTAAATCATCGGAGTAGTGACATATCCGATTGTTATATCACAACATAGCTTGCATTCGAACATCAGAAGGATTGAAGGGTGTGGAGTTGAAGATAGATGGAAGTTAGACAGGTCGTAGTGCCAGACTACTATAGCATCCTTATTTGAATTAAAAACAAAACTTTAGCTAAAATTTTACTTCAATTCAGCATACGAGTTGCTAAACGAATTTATGCTGGAACTGGTTTTAAACAGTTACTCAATATATACATTGCTTGAATCACCTCGTATTTAGTTCAAGTTTCTAACTAATTATAGTTCATATCTTTTTGAGATAAAGCATCAAGTTTAATCTTGATTTGATTCATACTCTTTATTTCAGCTCTACGATTAAAATAAAATTAGAAACCTTTATTAAATATGTAAAAACTACAGACAAAGCAAAAATCTCTTATTTAATTAAACTAGTTTCTCTTCTACCAAAGACACAAATGCATACTACAATGTATTATCGACTCATAGAAAATGAACTTCACTTAATACACTACTAAATGTACACTTTCATGCACTAAATAAAATCCTGCTCGACACATATTAATACTAATGGTGGTTGAGTTTGACTCCAAATTAGTTTTATTTGTTTACTTTCAAATCGTCTATTTTGGTTGATGACTCCGTGTAACAATTTCCTGATGATGCTGCTGTACGCCGTTTTTCAATTTCCGTTTGAATCGCTTTTTCTTGGATAGATATAGGCAATCCTAGATTAAGGTTGATTACATAAGGAATGCACATTTTTGGCATTGATTCAAAGTCAATGAAGCACCGAATAAACATAGAATCATCACGCACGTAAGGATTATCTAAAGGCTGAATGATTGATAATGGTAAAAACTTGGGTATTCCTGAAGCTATATTCATAGCAGATTTGGGTCGTTGAAAACTATTCGATTTAATATCGGGACGAAATGAATCTATTATATGACGTTGACTTCCTGTTTGATCATACAAACAGAAAATTACTTTATAGTTAAATGGCCATGCTAATATTGCATCATAATCTCCTCTCATTAAAACAAAGAATAATGAAAGATGTGTACCTCTTGCTTGACCATCACCGTTCATATACAATCTCATACACATTTTGTAGCCTGTCGATGAGGAATAGAAAGGTGGAGAATAGATACTGGTTTGCCGATCAGCAATACCATTGGCCAATTTTTCAGCCACATTCGCAATTTTCCAAATATATGATCCGTTATTTGATGATGTACTGGAATTATCCAATAACATCTGTTTCGTCGTTTCCATTTCAGCTTGCAAAACCTTGTTGTTCATATCAGTCACAGACAGCATTTGTGATGTTTCTTCTATTGACTTGTTAAGTTTTTCTATTTGTATTTTTTGTTCCACAATTTTACTAAGTACTTGTACAAAATTATTATGAATTTCTACATTATCATCATGTAAACATGAGACTCCCTCAGCTAAAATATTAATTGTGTTTAATATCTCTGAATAGTCATCTTTCTCCGATTCGCATTCACAATGATCACCAATTGGTTTAGTATGCAACTTTCGTACAAAGATTTCAATTGCTTTAAGTAGTTTTTCTTGATGAATTGAACTTGAATAGTGTTCAAGCAATTCGTTGTAGTGTATCTCTGCAGTACAACCATATTTGATTAAAGGGCATGCTATCAATTTGGCCTTTGTAGTGCATTCTCGTTTCGCAGAAGTATCGGTCAAAGTAGTCTAAAAAAATATAGAGAACCCCATGAAGATTAAAGAAACTTCTAGTTTCAATTAATGATTACACATCTTATTTTATGTCAAGCTGTGTAATACGAAAATCTCTGGTTATTAAAGTGTCTCGATTAGAGATTATGCGGCAAAAAGCTTTTTCATTCATGAATCTACCGGGCCCGGTAACTTCTTTTATGAAACACGATCTCAAAGGCATTTTGAACTATACAGGATAGAAATTCGCAGACCATATGTCAATAACGACTCGTTACAATATATTAAATACTTTCTTACTGTATTTCTGAAGAATTAAGTACCAGAGACCGAAATCTAGTCGAGTCGGACCTCTTAAGATATATATCGAGTTGAATCGAGTCGAGTCAGACTCCAAGAACTCGACTTTTTAGGCACTGCTGATAGATTTCATCAGTTGACTCTGGAGAGAATCCGATTTCATTCTCAGAACAGCGATCAATTTGAGGAAATGAGGGAACTTATTTATTTCTCATTGTCCACTAGAATACACGCTACTTTTGCTGCTTCTGATCTGCAAGCGTTCAGACTTCCATACGTCCACGAGTTCGACTGGTGTAAACATGATACTACTTTCATCGCTAATTTGTCTTCTACTTCGGTCATGATTGATTACACGCTGTTGCGCTTTGATTTCTTTAGTATTAATTGCTCTTTTTTGTCAAGTTGCTAGTTATTTTGATTACCTTCTATTCACCATTTGAGCTAGTTTTGACAATTTTACGAAATGGCCAAATAATCGGAACAAAATAATTTCAGAGCTTATTTGTGAAAACGATCTATCTCAACAATCTATTCAATGGCGTAGCTGGCGAAATTTTTCAAGTTATAAGTTATTATTACTACCAGTGGCATAGCCAGAAATTTTTGAGTCATGGGCAATTCATTAGCCGAACTATTTTGAGTTACGGGCAGCTAAGAGCAACCGTTATGATTTCAAAAATATCTATGGGCAATAACTGTTCAAGCACTGCATGGCTCAATAAATCCATAGGCAATAACTTTTGGAGCTATGGGCAATTGCCCAATGGCCCTACCCCTGGCTACGCCACTGATTACTGCTAAAAATTTTCAAGTTAGTAGTTTCAGACAGGACATGGGGATAATAGTTAGTTCTTTCTGTAGCGAATACATGAAACAACATACACTCTTCTTAGTCACAGCTGAGTTATGACAACATATGTGACAGCTATGCTCTAATACGCAGTTATTTTCTCCTACAATGGCTCACATTTGTGGGTGTGGGTGTGAATGTGGTTGTCTCATTTTCAACATACAAACTGAAACCCACACCCATACCCACACCCACACCCACACCCACACCCACACCCACACCCACACCTACACTACACACGCCACCCACACCCACACCCACACCTACACCCACACCCACCCTGCTCTACCCTTAGTTTCAAATGCTCTCAATAACAAAGAAGCATGATATCTTTGTTTAATTGGAAAGTTGACAATTCTCATGGACTTTTCAATTAGAGACTTTTCCAGGCCCCGCGTGAGCGGGGGTTTAGGGGGGTATACACTCCCCAAAAAATAAAAATTTTTCAGTTTTATCCGGCCACAAGCGCAGATTTTGTCCACATTTTATGATTTTTCTGCAAGATTTTTCTGAAAATACTCTCTTACACCCCGTCAATCTGCCAAACACCCCCCTAATATTTGATCCTTCGCGCGGGCCCTGGACTTTTCAATTTAGTGTTGTAGATTAAATTCAGTGACTAATAGGACTTTTTATGAAGATTATTACTTCCTTCTATGGTATTTTTATCATGATATTGGCGTGAAAAAAATACACAGGCCTAGACAGGCAGGCCCAAGCAAACCTGAGAAAATGGCAGACAGGCCAGGCCGAGGAAATCAAAGAACAGACACAGGCAGGCTATGACGGATGTAAGCCTGTTACAGGCAGGCCAGGCCTTCAAAAAGTGAGCCTGTTTGAACCTCTGGTAGTGACACTGTAATACCGTGCATTAAGCTTTAGAAAACTTTCGTTTCACATGCAGGAATAGTACAGTAATGCTCTATCTTTCTTTGATATTAGATCACTCGTCAAGTAAGATCAAAATGAAAAAAATTTCAATAAGAGTTGTTTTTTTATGATATGAAAGGACAATATCGAGTGCCTACAAATATGTCGAATCGACAAATTTTATCGACAAATTTGCGATCGACATTTTTTGTATTCGTCAAATTTAATGTTTCCCGACAATATCACATCATATTCGTCTTGGGAAACATCGAATTTGTCGAATACAAAAAATGTCGATTGCAAATTTTATTAAAAAATGTCGATTATTGTATTATAACATTCCTTTCTATGAATTTCAAATTCAATTATGACCACCTAAAATCTAACTTGAAATCAAGTTGAAATCATGTTGAAATCAAGTTGAAATCAAGTTGAAATCAACTTGGAATCAAGTTGGAATTCACTTGGAGGGTGGGTGTGGGTGTGTGGGTGTGTAGGTGTGGGTATGGGTGTGGGTGTGGGTGTGTGTGTAGGTGTGGGTATGGGAGTGGGTGTGAGTTTAGAATAAAAATCAAATCGCACCCACACCCACACTCTTAGATAAACCTAACTCCAACATAATTTAAGCATGATTTCAACTTGATTCCAAGTTAGATTTTAGGTGGTCATTAATGAATTTGAAATTCATAGAAAGGAATGTTATAATACAATAATCGACATTTTTTAATAAAATTTGTCGAATTCGACAAATTTGGATTTCAATTTTGTCGAATCGACAAATTTTTTTTCGACAAATTTTATCGACAAATTTGCGATCGACATTTTTTGTATTCGACAAAATTGTAGGCACTCATTCGTCTTCGATGTGTATTCTCTTTTTGTTGTTCTTCTCTTATTTTTTTCCGCCTTCTCTAATGCCTAGAATGTACATGTGACAAGGGTGGGCTTGTGGGTGTGAGTAGGTTCTCAGTATAGGTGTGGGTAAAGTCTGGATGTAAGTATACAGTGTGATGGTGGATGTGGGTAGCTGTTCTTGTGGGTGTCTGGGTGAGTGTCGGTATTAGAATGGAAAGAACACGAACATTCTACACCCACACCCACACGCACATGCCATACCCTCACCCTACATTCACACAAACATGACGCAACCCACATCCATATCTTGTTCTTTTATTGTGAATGATGATGAAGATTAAAGTGAAATTAGTGTTGACATACCTGATCATCGCTGTCTGAGTTTCGCCGTTTAGATGAGTTTTGTCGAAATAAAGTTGGGTGTGAAGTTTTAGAGTCATGAATATTTGAGTCAGTTATGGTAGTATCTTGCAAAGTGAAAACCATATTGAATTGTTCTGAAATAGAAACTAATCAACATATGTGTTCCGTACCTTTTATATAGTCTTCTACTACTGTTGTCAACAGGAGTTTTCCGAGGAAGAGAAACATCAATTATGACATTTTTCTTTCAGTATCAATAATCAGAGAAAAAGCTTGACTTTACAATCAGATCGGAAGAAAAAACCCTTATATTATACTCTGCACGATGGGGAAAAAGCCAACTTTCATTTTGATTTGTTTGTCAAGCAAATATGCGCCATTCCTTTTTCACTCACGTCGCCTAGAGAAAAGAGAACACTCTTTACATGAAACTTTGTTTTCTTTCGAATCACATGTAAAGGCATATTTACTGAAGGGGGTGTATGTGAAGGTGACTATAGGTATGGATGGTTGTCGGTTTGGGTGTGGATTCAGGAATAGTATACATATTCGAACTGTCCTGAGCACTCAACATCGACACTTATCCACACACCTACACCTCACCAAAACCCACATCACACCCACCCACACATCCAAACATCTACAACCCATTCATACCAACACACGCACCCACACCCACACCCACACCCACACACGCACCCACACCCACACCCACACCCACACCCACATCCACACCCACCCACACCCAGCCACACCCACACCCTCAATGGTTGTAACCCTTCATTTTCCGCTTTCAGATTGTTACTGAAATATTTTCATTGGTGAGCGAATACATGAAATTCTCTTTAGCGAGACTTTTTTCAGCTAGAATTGTATTGTTAATCATTTATTTTATGAGATAAATTTTATTATTAAATACTATAAATTTTGTCATATTTAACGACACAACCGATATATTTGAACTCCATTAAGTAATACCTCTTTTATGAGGGAGGTCGTAAAAATTCATAGAAGATCATCGTCTCTCATAGTTACAATAACCACAAGCCGTTACTGTGACGTGTTCTTGAGCAGAGAACTTGGTCACACCGAGTACTAGTATGAACATACGGTGAGGGTGAGTATGGATAGATGTCGGCATCAGAATGGAAGAAACATCAACACCCCATATTCACACCCGCACATATGCCACGCCCCACATCCCATGCTCACACCCTAGCTCCACACCTACATGACACACCCCACACCCCACACCAGGCCCTACGCGAGCGGGGGTTTAGGCGGGTGTACACCCCCTCAAAACCAAAAAATTTCAGTTTTTTCCGTCCACAAATGCAGATTTTGTCTACATTTTATAATTTTTCTGCAAGATTTT